AGTAAATATAAATATATGTTTAAGCAAGATGAAAAAGAAAGATGGGCCATAAGTGAGGAGAGCTGTTGGTGGTAGTAGGAAGAAGAAGGAGGCACACCTGAACAGAATCCCAGAATTCAGAAATAATCTTCTAGCCAAAAGGGTGGACCTGGAAATGCCGAGTACAGTAAGGTTTTCTGATGGAAATGTAATGTATAGGTCCCAAGAACTCAGAAACTGATGGATGCTAATTTGCATATGTGTAGCATTTTGCATAATTGACCTAATTAGCATATTAATTAGATCAAATAACAAAATCTACCATATCGTCCATAGTAAATCACATAGAGACCTAATTGTTGTGTCTACACCTGTGTTTGTGACCCCAATGAACGAACTCATCTAACATGGTTAGACACCTACCACACTTCCAATCACTTGAAATCAAACAACCATAACCCAGTAATCCTTAAACATTAAGACTTGGGATTGAGATCTAGAGCAATGTTTTGGGTCCCATAAATTTAATTTAGTATGTCCCCAAAATTCATGCCCACCTAAATTACAATGTGGTCATAGAAAATTCATCAAGTGCTTCAAATAAATTAAAAAAAACTGCACTTCGATCTTTCCTTATGCATGCATCCAGGCGAATAAAAGAAAAGTGTCTTCAAAGAATATTTACCGACTCTCATTATTCTAATCAGATGAGTTCTTTTTAAAACATTTTTGTAATACTACATATTACATGAAACAATTTATCACAGTATTGTTCAACATATAGCTCGTACTGTACTAATAATTAAATGATTTCTCTCTAAACTATTTATCTTTACAGATATCGCATATTTTACTTCAGAAATTGCATCAAAGTATTTAACGTATAGCTCTTATTGTACTAATTATATAAGTTTTCTCTAAAATATTTATTTGTGTCTTGCAGATTATAATTACAAGAAGTTTCGTGAAAGCATTATATAGTAAACGACTGACATTATAGTAATACATTCTTTATTGCATAATGTCAAAGCAGTGCCTGTTTGCACCGTGTTTTGGAAGGAACTGGCACACACAAGCCTAAAACACTATGGTCTTTGGTCCACTTATTGACTGCCCTCCATCCCATCCTGACACTGTCTTGACTACCATGGCATACCTTGATCAGAGGCTTAAGAGCCTTGGCATGGTTCAGGTTCATCTGACATTAGATATGCAACTCTACATAATCGCCTGCCTCATCAAGTGGAATGATTCTTTACGATGGAAGAGTATAGTTTTAAGACCAGGAATGATGCAAACGTTACTGTCTTTCATTGGCACCATCGGACACAATATAAAAGGTACATGTGCTGAGGAGGTTGTCGGTGCTGCATATTACCAATATATTCAATGGGAAGGCATGGCCAAAGGCGATGCTAGCCTTTCGTATGGTTGTTGCTGCACTTCTACATGATTTCCTGCAGGAAGGAGAGAAAAGTCATGAAGATATTGTTACCTACCTGAACAAGACGCAAAACAATCCCACGGGCAAACTCTGGGTTGATTGCTTCATCACTTCAACAATGCTTGCACACCAGTTTCTTAGGGCTGAGTGAGAGGGTGCATTCTTAGTGATTACACAGTTGTGTTTGTTCTGCTTGTATATTGGTGTTGGAAATCATGTATATCATGTTGTGTTCAAATGGAAAAGTGGGAAGGGTCAGTGCTTGACAGTGCTTGGAGAGAAATGCAAAGGTATTTTGGCAATACATGCGCTATTGGGTGTGACACAGTGTCTTATTGTAGTGGGAGAGGGAAAGTGTCTGCCATGAAAGTGCTCAACAATGCTGAAATAGCTGGGCCAGATTCAGTTCTGGGCGAGGAAGATGCAACTCATAATGACTTGATAGCACATGGTACTGCGTACCAGTTACTGCATATGTGACGGAGGGAATGAGTGTTTCAACTTGCTGACGCAACGAGAAGGCGATAATGAGCAGGAGGAAAAAGACAGAAGATTTAGAGGAAAGAGAGATTGACTACGAAGATAAAGATTATTAAGGGTTGGGGTGTGTACCTCAGTTTTGCTCAGACAAAATGCATTATGCCGTATTTCAGGTGCATCCTGAAATTTGAGTACTAACTACTGGACTATTTAGTGCCATAGAGTAGTAATTGTTTGTGGTTTTGCATCTGTCCATATAATCATTGTCATTCTGTAATATATGAACTGAAGATATATCGAAATCAAGTAATTTATTGTATATTGTAGTTTAGTGCTTTTAACACTCTCTCCTGTAATAATAATTATTACTAAAAAGTGTTAAATAAATGTCAAATGTTATTACAATATGCATTATTTTATTTGAAAGCCCGTGGATCTTTCGATCACATCATACATTAAAACCATGTCCACATCCTAAGGAGATATATATTTGCCTTTATTTATTTAGCTACATTGTGGTTAGCATGTTTTAATATAGTGATATTGATTTAAAAACATGCTAAATAAAATTTGTGGATAGCAAAACATTTAGGTACGGACACCAACAAGTGTTTATCGGCTATAACGATATGTCAATTTTATGACTTTCCTCATTATACATAGTGGTCATTTTTATTTGAAATGGGCAGAAGGATCGTATGGGCCTAAAACCATACTGGATGGGTTCTTTGGGTCAAATACATGGGACTAGACACTCAAATCTATGTGATATACTAAAGAAGATATGGTATTTGTGATTTAACCTAATTTATATGCCAATTAGGTCAATTACAAAAAATGCTACATATAAGCAAATTAGCATCCGGCTGTTTATGAGTCCTTAGGACCGGTATATTGAATTTCCACCACAACACCTTACAGTACTCACCATTTCCAGGTTCACTGAAAAACACATAGGGTTGGCTAGTAGACTAAAGGGATGGTAGGCAAAAGAGGGTAAACTGGAAGAGAAGCATACGCACAAGGGAGACAGCTGTAGTGGTGAGTTGAGGCTTGCGCGGTTCTTAATTGAGAGAGGGGGAGAGGAATGATCCATAAACGCAAGGGGGGTTCAGAGGAAGTGAATTGCCGTGAGAGGTCGAAAGGGACTGCAAGCGATAGCGGATTATAGGATAGATGTGTAGCAAGAGAAAGAGAAAGAGAGATATGTTAATGAGAGAAGGTTAAACATGCCCGGAAATGAAACAGTAGGTTTAAAAGAGGCCTCAAGTGAAAGAGAGAGAGGCATAATGATGCAATTCGAATCTCGATTTTACAGAGCAGCGTATGCGTTGTGTGTGTGTGTGTTGTTGTAATGCTATGGTGATAGAAAGGCTGGGGTTAGTACGTGATGTCATAATTCTTCGTTGTGTGTATAATCCCCGATATTTTCACATCGTTTTTTCTTCTTCTGTGATGTGTAACGTCAAATGTACATTACTACATTATATTGCGGTAGTTAAGTTAGAACAGATAAATAATGTTGATATTGTATATGATTAAGGTACTTTACTCAATTAAATGACCTGATTTTTACATGCAAATGATTCACCCACCTTTGGTAACAAATTTAATAATTGTTCTCAAAAGTACTGATTATGATTGTTTTTCGAAAATAGGTAAATATAACAGTGACATATGAAAGGGGAAGCCAGAAAGGATGGAATCCGGGAAAGTATGGTAGCATGAATGGAAGGGTAGTAAATGAGTGGGAAAACCAGGAGGGGTGATGAAAATAGGGTAGCCAGGGGTGATTTACAAGTGATAAAGCGGGATGCAATTGTGTGAGGTTGGGGAGACGTAGGAATGAGGGACGGCTGGGAAATGCATGAAACGATACAGGGAGATTAAGTGAGGGGGAAACAACAGACACATTTACTAATCATAACTTCGCATAGCAACACACGCGGTGTGTGGGATTTGTTTGAATGATATTGTGAAGTAAAATCGAGGGTTGGTACAGTATGTTCAAATCTCTATTTTTAATATGGTATCGTGTATTGTATGTGTATGTGATATTTGTACATTATTTTTCTATTTATTTATTTATTTATTTATTTTGTTTTGTATTTTATTAAATATATATTATCATCTTCTATGTTTATATTTGAGCTACCGCAGCGTATCAAGTTGAAGTTGAAGATGGTATCCTTCTTTTCTAAATTTATTTTAACGTAGAAATGATTTCACCTCATACTTCTGTGTCTTAGTATACACATATCAACTCGAGAATAATGAAACGCGCACGAAATACTATTTCTTGTGACTGACAGCTGTTATCATTGCTTCGTGTAAAATCGATAACTATGACATGAGCAATGTGAGCGTCAGGCAGGGTACATCATGAATACTTATTTTCAGCAAAAGAGGAGATCGGGAGAACTAAATGGCAAAACAGAGGTTGGGAAGGACTATAAAAGGTAAATGGGTAAAAATAAAAATGGACATGAACAATTTATGCTTCTGGGCAAGGGGTAAACTATGAATATATAGGAGTTAGGAAGGAAAGAGGACGGTAAGCAAAAGAAGGAGAACAAAAAACAAGAGGAATAGGCCAGGAAAAACAATGAATAAGAGCTGGAGGCCCGATAGTTAGTAAGTAAGGGATGGAGGCAGGCATGGTCTGTGAGCAAGGGCATAAGAGGACGAGGTCAGGAAGTCCATAAGTGCGAGAGGAGACATGAAGGTTGAAGAAATTGGTCAGTTCAAGAAGGGCCGTAGGTGAGAGGGGATTCAAGGAGTGGCAGTGAACTAGAGATAATCCAACAGGGACAGTAAGCGTGAATTGGAGGGCAGCATTGAAAGTGGCTGCCGGTCAGAATGGTAAATGACTAAATTATATCACTTTCTTAGGTAAAAATTTTCATAATTTTTCAAAATAAATTCGATATTCATATATATGCTTACAAAATATCAACTGTCTAGAATGACTATGTAAATATAACAAGGACTTTAGAATTCTGTGCTTTAATGCAAGATGATAAAGGGGTATATGATTGGCCATAAGCGAGGACAGACTGTTGATGGCAGTAGTCAAGGAAGGTCACATTAGAACAGAATGCCGGTAGAAATGGTAAGGAAAAGAGGGAAACTTGGAGATAAGCACCAGGAAGGGGGAGTAGGATACATTGGTGAGTTGAGTCTTGCATGATTCTTAATTGAGAGAGGGGGACTAGAAGGAACCACAAACGTATAGGGTCCAGGGTCGTGAATTACTGTAAGTGGTCTGGTGGGACTGCAATAGAAACAGGATGATAGGAGGGAGGCCAAATGATGCAATTGCGTATGCGTTGTGTGTGTTTTTTGTAATGCTATGGTGATAGAAAAGCTAGGGTTAATACATTATGTCACAATTCTTGGGTTTCTAATGTGTATAATCCTCATATTTTCACGTATTTTTTTCTTCTTCTGTGTTGCGTAACGTAAAATTCCTACATTCCTGCATTCCTACATTTTGTGGCGATAGTTAAGTTAGAACAGAAAAATTAATGTTAATATTGATTTTGATTTCATATTCAAATTTATACCATTACAGATTTCAGTTTCTAGGGTAAATATTTTCATATTTATTTTTAAAGGTACTGAAACATAAAATCGATATTCATACAAACGCCTACCAAATACTATTTGTCGAGATGGCAGCTGTTTTTGCGAAAATCGGTAATTATAATAGTGACAAATGCCAGAAGGCATTAAACCAAAAGATGGAATCCGGGAAAGGGGCGATTGGGAAATGCAGAAAGGATATAGGAATATTAGGAGAAGCCACATGTTAGAGAGACAGACCAGAATAGGCCACAAGTGAGAGGGGTACCAACTGACGCATTTACTAATTCTGAGTTGGCATAGCAACACAGTCAGTGCATGCGATTTGTTTGAATGATATGGGTTGGAACAGGATGTCCAAATCCCTATTTTTAATATCATGTTGTGTAATGTTTTAAAATATTTGTTTATTTTATATTTAATTATATGTTATCATATTCTATGTTGATATACACGCTATCGAAGCATATAAAGTTGAAGACGGTCTCCTATTTTTCTAAATTTATTCATACTTCGGTATCTTAGGTCAGCTTTTACAAGTATACAAATATCACCTCGATAATTATAGAGCGCTCACTAAATATTTTTTGTTGTGAGTGACAGCTATCATCGTTGCTTCGTGTGAAATCGATAATTGTGACATGAGCAATGTGTGCTTTAGGTAGTGTCAATTATAAATACATATTTTAAGCCAAGGAGGAGGTCGAGAGAAACTAGAGAAAAAGGATACTAGAAAGGGTTATAAGCGAAAAAGCGAACCAACTAACAAATAAAGAAAATGAGTTCGGTAAAAATGTAAAGTTAACGAAGAATGCAGAAGTCAGCCGTACCATTATTACGAAACACTTTGAATATCAATTCACACGGTAAAGTCTATATATTGATAATGCTATTTAAAAACTAAACATTTAATAATGCAAAAATAAACTCTGTGCATTTTCCACGACAGTATGTCAGACACAGGTTAATACATTATTACTCAACTGATGCATTACTAATCATGCTGACAAATGTGCATCCGGACTCTGTATTTTGAAATGTGCATCCGGGCTCTGTATTTTGAAATGTGCATACGGACTGTGTATTTTTGGTTTGAGTGGCATGTATGAACAAACCGTTACATGTACTGTATTTACTCTATTGTATATGCATATCACTACATGTACGATATTTATACACTATTCACTGTATTCTCTATATCTTAAGTGTGTATTCATTTGCAGTACATGTTCTATATTGTCTACAATGTTAAGTACATCAAATTAAAGTACATGTTGTGTATTTTCTCCATTGTACGGCACGCTCAAAGTACATCAAAGTATTCTATTTGATGTATATTTACTAGCATTACATGCACTAATACCTATGTACAGCATTCCGTCCATTGTATTTACAAACTAAACATTGTATTATACCGTGTTCCCCCTTGCACACTTAATAGAAATCACTGTTCACACAATCTGATTCCAGGGCATTTGCCCCCGGCCCGTGTGAATGATGTACTAAGTCGATTTGTTTACTGACATTAAATGAAGACAATTTTGTTGTAGTTACATAAATATTTGTAGTAAAATTTTAAGTAGTGTATTTGTAGATTTTCACTAATAAGTATATAGTATGAATAAGACCACAGACACGAGTGGCTACAATTTTATTGACCTGTTAATAATTCCACAAACTACTGTTTGCACAGTATAGATTGTTATCACGCGCCGAAAGACTTCACCAGTTATGTTGCCTGTTTTTCTGAAATAGTCCACCTAACTTGTTTATAATTAGCACTTGTTTTCACACAGAAAACGAGGCTTTGGTCAGCCAGATAAGATGCATCACGTCATGTAGTATGCAAATATCCGTCGGAACTAATTATTATTTAAATATAAAGCACATATGGATTTCCTTTTATTGGCTGCTGAAAAAAATCGTCACAGTTTTCGTATATTTCTAATAGAGCGTTTTATTGCATATCGTCACTTCGCTGTTATCTGCCGAAGCTATCAAGATCTGCAAGCAATCATCGAAATTTTGGTGTTCAGTACAATAAGGTAATTGTAAATTAAATGTTTGTCTATATGTCTATACGTGTGAAAAGGAATGTAGATATATGTTAGTTAGTTTGCGAGTATTCCCGCATATGTTTCTGGGTGATCGCTGTGTTACTCATGCTGCGAGCAAATGTGTATAACGATATTGTGTGTATCCGAGTTTGAATCGAGTAAATGCACATATGGTGGGGGATCGTGTGTTATATATTCCTTGCCAGAATGATATTCTTAATGAATTGCATATTTTAATAACATTATCATAGGGTATGAATTAGTTTCCGAATAATATTTTCTCCTTTGTTACGGAGTGGGCTTCTGTGTTTTCTTTTAGTAATTATCGAATTTTAAATTACTAATTGTGACACTTTCCTGAATGACCATGTGATACTGTACACGCAACGACATAGTTACAAATTACTTTGTTTTATAAATATTTCCCCTAAAACTATTGTGATTTATGTTAAAAGGAATAGATAAACGATTACGAATATTATTCTGAATCAATATACTAGTGGCACTCAAACTTGTTTTAATAACTTGTAATACTGTATTAACACATAATAAATAACCTGTGTATATTACAGTAATTAACGTTAGGATACAAACTATTGTTAAATTTAAGCTTAAAACCAAATTTAATTCTTCAAAACTGATACAAATATATCTTTTACATAACAAGTGATAGGTGGCGTACTGTCAGGGCTAGAAATAATTGTCTTCTTCATCGTTGCTTTATCATTCATGCAAAAACACGCAGTCTGAGCGTATACTATTCATCAACAAATATTGAAAGTTTGAGTCACTATTGTGTAAATGCTTTTTAGCGATTTGTCCACAACTCGCAATAATTCCAAGGGTGGTGTTTCATTAATGACCATAAGATAACAATGTATATATATAATTGAAAACGTTGAAATATAGAGAATGAGCACAAGAACAAAATTCAAAATATTTAATTAGAATTAATAAGCTTTGTTTTTATCTAAGTACAATTTGTCGTTGTATTACTTTATACACCGCTCGTATTAAGCCATGTATCTGCAGTGCATTTCACTACAGTGGTTTTTTTGACGTCAAATTTATTTTGCTGTGGTAAAATATTATGATTGTGTTACTTTCACAAGGCATAAGCATTGCACTCTCCCTGCAACACAGCGGATACTAGAACGGGGTGCAATGCGACTACACGTCACCATCGAAACCTGAATAAAAATGCGAGTTTCTATGTAGTGGTTCCAGTATTAGTAGGGTCGTCGTCGCATTTAATTTATAACAACAACAATTGTGAATATTTCGGCGGTTTTTGGCTGTCCCTGTTTGCATAATAATAAATAAAAATGTTTTTAAAGAATTGGCGTTCGTGTATGGTTGTGAACAAATAGAAAACAAATTGTAACATATAATTGTTCTTCCTAAAATATGGCTGTGCGAAGTTGGACATAACAATTTTCATTATAATCCTGTATAAAATTCCAGATTTTCTCGCTAGTCTTAGCCGTGCAATTTTATATGTGACCAACTATTAATAATGACATTGATTTGACAAGGCGTTCGTACTCTAGCACAACAGCAGTGTTGTTATTGTTGACAATCTAAGCCATCACCATCGGGGCTGTGTAATGTTATTTATGGAATATATTAAATTATATTTCCCGTTTTCGCACGAATAGTCTATCATTGAGATTTAATAGAGAAGCATTGAATACCAACAATTAGTGAGACTAAAAAAAAAACTGAAATTTTTTATATTTTTATATTTATAACATATTTGAAGAAATTTTTTTTCGAGCACGACATAACACAAATATAGGTGCTATCAGTTTAGCGTCGCCAGTGTTCATAATAACAAATGCTCGATTAAATGAAGAATATAAACAATAGAAAAAAAACTAAACGAGTTTTACTTGCCCCTGACATAGTTGTGCTGTTTATATCAATCAAACAATGGTTGTCAATGTTTATTACAACATAAATGATTGTAAATAATTATTTGTTGAATTCTAGTTCAAGAAAATGTGGACCCACATTCTCTTCTACAGTGCTGCGTGCATCGTAGTCAACCATGGCCATACTTTGCAGTATGACGACAAGGTTAGTTTAGTTTAGTTTAGGCATTTGATGTGATATATTCTTACTTATACGTTTACATATATTCACGAACGATAAACTGTAGTTCAAATGTTAATTCATTTAATGTGGAATGCAAGGCTGTGATCCATTCATGATTGCTTATAATCAAATCACAAAATGAACAACTATTTCCGTCGAATTGCCTATCGACTGGTCCGTTGTCTACCTATTGTGCTACGTGCGTCTATTTATATAATATTGCGATAGGTAGCTGACAATTGTACTATCTCGTGGTTATTTTTCACAGTTAAGTCACAGTCTGGATTTACGTCACAGTAAGTATATTAAGTTCATACGAATTAAAATTCTTCATACGTTTATATAGACGTTAAGGTCCAGATTATAACAGCACCGGGCACAATATTTCACCGAAACAGTTGGAAAAAACAGTAACAAAATCTCACAATTGTTGTTTATACATTGATCAAAAATGTAATTATACATTTAACAGTTATTGAAGATGACAACTGCAGTGTCTATGTAGCCGGTGTTTTGAAATGGGGCGAATGCAAAGATGACAGATATATTGATTTCGATGCAGAAGGTTTCGAGGAAGGTTGTTTTTATCCAGACAAACCATGCCTTAGTCATAAGCACTGTGAAGGTCACATGCAGTGTTACTTAAAATTTGATGCTTATCCCCGTTTAGGTGAGTTTTTCTCTCTATAATCATCAAACAAGTATTTATGTGACTAAACAAAAACTTGAAACAGCAACATTACGGCTCAACGCATTTTTATACTAACCATTGAACAAAACGTAATTTGATACATCTGCTACTGTAAGCTATGAAGTTACAGAATACAATTATTAACAGTAGCATCAATGAATATGCAAAATAATATATACTTGTTATGCAGATTTAAAACATTACTGGATTGCGAATGGTCTTTCTACCTCATCACGAGATCAACACAACAAATAACACTTCAGACCCCTAATTTTTCAGCACGACTCTATAATGTAACATCTTATGATTAATGACATCCGTCATTACAGCAGTATCAAAATTGTACATAACTGATTATGTACGAAACGATCAATCAATATATCAATAATAATAATTAAAATAATAATGTCATAATAAAATTCAATAATTTATGTTCGAATACATTCCACGCTTTAGCACTGTGCTCGAACTTACGTGTCACGGACAATAATTTTGCATTACGATTTAATCAAATGTGAATTCTTGATTTCAATTTGACATACAAATATTATTAATAACATAAAACAACTCAACCAAAATGTCAATATTGTTTGTACTTTTAATTTAAAATAATTTTATGTACCACAGCAACTATTATAATCACCTGCCTGTCATAATACATTATGATAATTTGGCATTATATAGGCCCTTTCTCACAAAAGAATCTGCAGACCAAAATTTATGATTTTTCATTTGTGAATCAATAGTCAATAGTTCTGTTCTCTCCTTTGTTTCTATGACACATTCATCCAGTGAAGGACTTTATCTGTTATTGGGTTTCATCCCGCTGCAACATATTCATATTAACATTTGTCTTTTATGTATTTACATTTGTTTTTATGTTCATTCATTATATCTGAATTTATAGATAAACCATGTCTAGATATAGGAGGACATTGTGTAAAACCAGGATCAAGAATTGATGGAATATTTTATAAGGGTTACTGTCCATGTGATTATGACTGTTATGTTAGAATCCGTAAGTGCGAGTTAGACTCGAAAATATTTGAAATAATTCACAACAAATATTGTAGATAAATGTAAACGCCAACTAAGAACACAATATCGTTACTGAAGCTTGTCATATATGCACTGACTGCAAAAACCCTGTCATGCAAAATGTACTACATGACCATTGATTGTGGATATTGTGAATGCTTTTCATATACAAGGACAAATGGGGCTATACAATTATTATTCTTTTCAATGAACACATATAGTGTATGATCGTCATAGGTACTGGGTAACCATTTCTAGTGTGTGCTGACATTGTCACATACACGCGAAAATTATGTTACGTAACCGATTCTTGGACATCCTAGCAATTTACTCATCTCTGTGAATTGTGGGCCTGTATCTGTAGGCACACTCTATTGAAAGGTATTTTCAATACTTACTACAATGTTACTATATTTTGAATGCACATAAACGTTGACTAACACCAAAGTAATTAACAATAAAATAGGTTGTTGGAGAAATTCGGATTTATAAATTAAATGCATGACATCACCTCAAGCTTATCTGTTTTAATTTTTGTTTTAATGTTGTTGATTTTTCTTTAGAGGATTCTGGTTGTACCGGCACAGACCATTGTCAAACGCCCAATCTACCTTGTGGAGGAACGTTGAATCATAATCTATGTGGTGTTTCCCTCGCTTGCTGTGTCAGTAATGAGGGTAAGAATAATTCTATATATATGATAGTAGTAGCAAAAAACAATTAAGCTGCATACGACTTGGGTGAGAATCGGGGTGTTATACTTAGCAGAGCAGCCGCTTCGCTGTGATCTATTGAAAGTAAGCTTCCACGATCCCTTTAATGATAAACCATGTCTGGATTAAGTAGCACATATTTTATGTGCGTCTATGCTTATTATGACAGATGACACTAAATGTGCTGATATAAATGGAGTATGTCAAGAAAACACACAAAATTGTGATGGCTGGTATGTTACTGACAAATGTGCAGGACATGCAACAAGACAGTGCTGTGTGCCCCCCGCAGGTAAACATATTTTTTAATAAGTAATCGAAAATTTAGTGTGTTTCAAGTACTCAGATTGTATATTACCGATTTCCTTTCAAGGTGGTACAAAATAAAACACTCATAATATATAATTAACTAGTTTTAAATTAAGCTCATATGAAAAATTACAATTGATAAACTTTCGAATTGAAAACATAGACCACAATAAAGATGGGTCACTTAATTTAACAACATTAATAGTACGCAACCCTTCTGTTACAGAATTGTCCCCTATGTCTATTTGAGGTTATATTATTATTATTATTATTATTAAATCTTTATCGCAGGATATAAAGTGAAAAATACGCACATCCCATATTAAAAAAACAATAACAAACAATAAACATAAACAAACAAAGAAAAAAAACGAATATATAAAAAGGCTTGACTAATAAATAAATAATTCATTGTTTCAGTGTGTTTCAAGTACTCAAAAATAAAAATAATATTGCTGTACGAGTGATTCATTTAATTCAACAAAATTGACCAGTAGTTTAAGTGATTTTTTTATCATACAGAATTTTTCCATATGTATATTAGAGTTTATAAACGGCATGTGTGATGGTCCTTTGTAGCGGATATGATGTCTTCATGTACGAAAAACACCTCAACTCATGCGCACGCGCTGCTTTGTGTAAATTTCTAATTCTTCCAAAGTTTTTTGCTCTTAGATAATACTACTGTACTATAGGGGGTCATCGAAAAGCCATATGTTTTGAAAAACACCAAACCCTTTGATAATTCTGAAAATATAATACCATGATATTCACTGATTTGATTTTTATAATGATTTGCGCGTGGATTTATGTGAACTGGCATTCTAATTTATTTTGAGAGATTAGAATGTGGTGCGCTTTCAAGATCTCGTATTGGAGTTCCAGGGCTAAAACGTATTTCATAGAACAATCTCATAGATGAGCGAGGCGCATTACTAAATCGATAAAATATGTAGTATATATAACCACGAAATATCGGTAGTATCGATCATACACTACTTTTGTACATGAACGATGTAAAAAAGCAAAAATAACAATGTTTATAGTTGTCTATTCACGAAACAGATCCGGTGAATAACAGATAATGAGTTTTCTCGCAAAATGCGCAATATATATCATTTTGGCAATGCTAATTCGTATTAGTACTTGTACCAGATTTACCTGTTTTGATTGACATTCCTAGATATTTAACACAGTTTATTCAGTTTTGGGTGGCATTACAGGTCTTCTACTGTTGAATATAGTTTTTTGCTTTAGCCAATACAATGGACTAGATTCAGACTAACCACGTTATAATTCAAGTTATAGCCTGAGAGTACTAACAGTGTTCTTCCCAATTTATTTGATTAAAACAAAATAGTTTTATGTCGTTACCAGATGATACCAAATGCACTGATGCCCCTTATTGGGGTAAATGTGATGATATTACAAAGACACCTTGTGAAAATGGTGATTATAGGCATGGTAATCCTAAATTATGTTCCGGACCTGTTCATAGACAGTGCTGCATAGATGGGTAAGTCTAACTGTCTATTAATTCATTATTAAAATGGTTGTACTCTAGTCGTTTATTATTCGATACGAATATAACCTTAATTATCAAAACTTGTTTTTTTATAACATGAATACTGGCATATGAGATATGTGATTGTTCTACAAAACATACGGAAAAAAGAAACAAACTATATATTAACATTTTATCATTTATATATGCGTATTCGCATCACTAAAATAAGCTGTGATTCTAATATATATAATTCTGTCTGTTATTTATAAAACTACGGTAGAAGATGCTACTTGTCTATATATAATCATCGTAAATTAATATTCTATTCCATTCTATTATTAGATGTGTGGATTACCTTGAAGGTGCGTAAAACAATCGATTGGTTAACATTTATATACATGTCTAAGCGTATTAATACTAGTCCATTTTCAAATTTTTTGAAGAATTTTAAATGTAAACTTTATGTTACAGTTGATGACAAGGAAGTTCTCACTCAGTGTCATGTGTATGGCGGATGCTGTAGACCTTTCTGTGAACCACCAGAAGTAGAAACGGAAGAATATTCTTGTGAAATAACAAATAGGGATGGGAACATCATTGGAACACATTGTAAATGTTGTATAAGTGAGTTGATTTTGTATTTAAAAAATACTAAATACATGAACACATATATTACCGGATATCCGCACTTTTGTTTTAAATTTCATTCCTATATAACATATTCCCCCGTCTCTTTATTTCATACATTGACTAACTTGTATATATTTTTTTGTTTTTGTAGTTCCAGGTGGTGAACCAGTGATTGGTAAGTGTGAATATTATATATTATTTTATATTTGTCTTTTAAAACAATATTCAATTTCTGAATGCACAAAATAAATCTAAAAAACTGTGCCATCATGGGAAATATGACAAAACTCCACACCCTTCCCGTGGCTTTCGTTGCGTATAGAAGTTATTTTCACGAGTGATACGGTGCATTCTGCGGCCGTACTTTCTTGAGCTAAGCGAGTGAAAGTACAGCAGAATACACCGCATCTTTAGTGTAGAATTTAGAATGCGTCTGTGTGAAAATAAAATAATCAGACGTCTAATCTGAATCACTGTTCGAATAAATAACTCGTGGACGTTTAGTTGGGGACATGACAAAATCAGAACTTGAACTGGATTATGATACAAAGTTTATGTTGAAGTTAAAAGTTCCTCCACAGAGTTGTACTGCATTGGCAAACATGCCGTGCAACTACGGTACTCCACTGACGGGATGACTTTCGTCGACAGCGGTCGTCACTAAGCTGCACGCTACAACTTCGTTTGTAATGTTGCTTTGTGGTTGTTGATTCAATGAGTCTTAGTTGCTGGTCAAAATGTCGTTCATTTGGCTTTAATAATCTTTATTTGAAACTGAGTAACGCCGCAACGTCACCAGCAGAAATCTTCTGGTATCTCGATGTTGACGTAATCACTGAGAGCCGAGAGCCCTTCAAGGCAGCTTCAAGGTTCATAAAACTCAGTACCAGGTGTTCGACATACATTATGTTCTCCCAGTCGTAGTATTCCATGCTGTGTACACCTAGTATGCCAAAAATGTTGCTGAACGATTTGAATCGCATAAAAATAGCAGACGAAACGGTGTTTACAAAATAAAAATAGTTCGGTATCCAATAGAAATACCATGTTAATTTGCATATCGACCGTGAAAATACAGAAAACATTATTGCATGGTGATATGCAAATTAGTTTAGTCAAAATGAATGACTGCCTATAAGTACCATTACTGATGTTCAAATTTCATTTCACTTGGCAAGTATATTCATGTACCCCAAAGGAAAAATTTCGTACTTCTAAATATTGTTTATTTCTGCTATGTTTCGAAAATCGGTACTCCAGAAGGAACTGTTTTGTTTTTCTCATTTGCATATGGGATGTGAAAATACCGATTTTGATTTCAGGGACGAATCAAAATAAACTGCAGTACATTTGTAATAATTATGTCAAATATTTTGTCGTTAATAATAGTATTATAAGGCAGGAATGTATTTATAATATCTAATCAACTTATTTCTACCACTGTAGGAGTGAGAGGGGATCCGCATTTTATCACACTTGACAGCCAAAAGTACAATTTTAATGGCCACTGTTCCTACGTATTGTTGAGAGAATGCACAAATCCTTTGGGAACTCCACGTTTTACTGTGACTACTAAACACAGTTTGATGGAAAGCTTAAGAAGGAATTTAAAACCATATGTCGACAGCACATCGGTCATCGTAGGGGCATTCCGAGCTGATCTTTTGCACGGCAATTTAGTTTCAGTAAGTAATTAAAAACAAATAATCATAAAATAACCATTATAGATAGATAAATTATACAGATAAATATGCCAAGACTGCAATTTTAAATTTACATATGATTTTTCTTAATAGTTCACTCCATGTATACAGTTTTATGCTCTGCCTAATATGTACTCCATGCAAATATGATGATGTATGCATCATGATACAACAATAGTAAACTATTTACTACATTTTTCAGATCAATAATGAACCTGCAGTGCATATTCATGAGTTAAGAGGATGGAACAAAACAGATAAAGGCATCACTGTGACACCAGACAAGGGCATGGTTAAAGTAGACGTAGAGGGTGAATTTACTGTATGGTTTAATGGTAATGGACGTGTCAATGTCGCCATTGATCGACAGTATCACGGGAAAGTGTGTGGTTTACTTGGCAACGCCAATGACAATTCCGATGACGATTTCCAGAAATTGACAACTAATGGTTTGGAATTGGTCACGGACATAGATGAATTTGCAAATAGTTGGGTTGTGCCGAATAGGTGAGTGATTAAATTGTAATAGATGTTTTTTGGTTGGAGAATGAATGAATAGTCATATATCAACTGTTAATATTACGTTCAGCGTATATGTGAAAAATGAACAAAATTATGGTTGACAGTAATATTTCACTTGATGTGTGTGGGACGTTTACCGTGTCATTTGCCATTTACACATCTAATAGTGTTTTTCTTCTCCGCAGTTGTCCGTGAAACCGAAATCAGCAGAAAAAAAAAGATGAAGGCATGCAACTCTAACAACTGAGACAGCTTTTTAAAATTCATTGCTCTGGTGTTGGGAAAATATTCCTTAAATTAAATTCACGTAACTTCTACGATTTCCATACATACATCTCTAAATTCAGTAAAAATATTGACAATTATACATAAATACGATGAACGAAGCACAAATGCACAAATATGTGACGTGTTACTTTCGATCGTATATTAATTTCTTCTGTCTTCTTTGTATGGTGCTTTAAATATAATTCCTGTCCTCATAATCTTATTTTACTTTATTGGAAATGCATACTTCTGTTTTTCTTTTACTCATTTTGATCTATTATACAGGCGAATAAACAGCTTTTGGGAATAATTGTTTTAGCAATGATTACATGATAGTGTTACGCACATGTCATCCTTGTGTGTCGTGCCTTATTGAGATACGTGGTTTTTCAAATATTGTACATTTTTGTGTTATACATCTCGTCTTTTGGGTCAGAAATAGGTATAACTATGGAATTATTAATAAGGGTACCTCACAGTAAGAATACGATCGCGACATTCTGTATTGTATTCGTGTATACTTTGATATATCCTTGTAATACTAAAAAACAGAATTTCGTGATATATGTGTTATATATGTTATACATCTGTCATCGTAACGCTATAAGTTACAGAGTGCCGTAATTTCGCGGTATTGCACGCGGTATTTTCATCCTACCATATTAGGAAATGCATCCTCCAATAATAAAAAAACATGGCTAAGGTTTGACCGGACCCACACAAAGAAGTTCGCTAAATTTGTCCTAAACGTTTTGGATTTCGGCATTCCCATGATTCTCTTGTATTAGGAATCTGAAATCTCACTTCATTTTGGAACCATATAGCAACAATGTGAATAATACCCTGGCTTAACATACCAGTTGATCAGACATATTAACATTTAGAACATCAAATGTTATATTTTCTGATTGTGATAATGGATTTAATACGTCATATTACTACAAATTTAAATATTTTGCTTGGGTGAAAGTAGATTTTTAAAACTATACCAAAAGCAATATACGCGAAAAAAAAATAAAAAAAAATAATCCACATAATACAACAAATTATATCTTGAAATACAATACTCCACCCAAAAAACAATCATATGAAACATATCTGCAGAATATGCATATGTTCGGGTGAAGCCGAGAAAACTAGCAAAAAAGAAAGGTGCTATTATAAATCACAAATTCAGGACAGAAAATTGCTGGACAGCCATTAAAAAGGGTTGACTTATTAATAGAACTGCCTTGTGCGGCGTGTTTTGATGCCAGTTCCATGTCTAGTGGCTCGGCTGAAACAGTTCTGTGACGTGTTGTTTTAGAGCGTTTGCGTTTTATTTTGCCTGATAGGGTCCATATCATAGATATCTAGGATACTTTCTTTCATCCTGAGTATGTATACTAATAATGCGTTAACTCGATATGTGATATTTCTACCATAACAATATTGCTATTTTTTGTTTGACACTGTCTTTGTTCAAGTTTTACAGAGACATTAGTTGTGGAAGGCTTTGAGTTTCTTTCTTCAAGTCTTATAAATGTCATACTAACAACCGCAAACAATGCTTCCGATGTCGACACAATTTCAAAAAGATCAAAAAGTCAGAAAATCTTGACATTTCAGGAGGTCGTTGACTACATCTGGTTCAATGATTATTACACCGAAAATGTGTTTTGTTTTGTGTTTCTTAAACATTGGTTTCCTAACATAGCAATAGACCGAATTATTAACATCGTATATGTATTGATTTTATTAGTTAGACTTATAGATTTATTGTTAAATTTATTTATTTTAATTGACCCTGCAATTTCGAATTAAATTAGTTAAATTAAATATTTAAATCTCTCAATCATGATCTAATAACCACCCACCAATGTGACAATTATACAAAATCAGGAACATTACAGCTATAATATCATGTCACTTCTGATGAACAAGAAAAACGGACAGTCCACACTGTATAGTACAAATAGCATATCAATTTTCAAAAAGTTATTATATTTAACAGTCGGCCACTATGACAAAGATGCCAAAACATGCAAAATTATTCAATTTTTCAACAGCTGCAGGAATCAGAGGTCAATTCGTATATTCAAGGCCAGGGACAATAAAGCTACATAATTGCACACAATGGCTCAAATCGGTACCAAAATAACATAGTAACGAACCTGCCAAAAGTGTGAGCCACAGTTAATGCTTTGAAAAAACTACTCATAGGACTATTTTGATGCTGCACAATGCATCAGACTGCTTTAAAAAGTCTCCATTTGTACACATACATGCGGCGAGAAAAATCAGTACCTATGAATAGCGTCGGAATAGCGTCCCCTGTGTTAAATACAATTAGAATTAAAGAAAACCAACCTCAACTATAGAGGGCCTCATTAGGCACTCCGTGGTGGATTATGAAAAATAAAAACAATCTGCAGTCTAAGTTACAGAAACACACGCTTTCGATACAGCAAATATATTTTTTAAAAGTAAGTATTTAAAAACAAGAGAGAAAATATTGCATAGCAGTGAACTACCATCTGAGGAAAAATAATTCATTATCAGTAATGAATATACTAGACAGGTACGTAGAGTATTTATTTTATTCTATATTATTTAATTTTTTCTCTTTTGACCACAAAGCCATATTGAATTTCCCCAGTCGTGGAAAAAGAATAGATAAGGATGACAATTTACATCGAATAACACTCTTATGTTCGGGAATGGCATCATCATTATCATACATTGAAACGTAAACCAAATTCAAATGGTCGACCCCTACCCTGGGAGAGTGTGCCACAGTCTCAATGGGAAGGCCAATTCCACTGGCCGTGATTCATTCACTAACGAATGCGACTTTGGGGAACCTTGGTTAAGGTCCGCAGGTGCTTGTATTCGACCGGGCCTGGTTGACGCCAGGATAGCGCATTAAAATTGCCATTTTATAGGGAGATGGCTACACAGCCTTGTCATGTAGTCCCAAACAGGAAATGACTTCAGGACATGTGTCAGCACTAGCATTTGCAATTTGCACTTACAAAAAAAAGTCAGGAGAGACAACAGTGACTTTCAATGTCCGGAACTGTCGCCTGGCACAAAAACATTAAAACAAAAACGGGCTTTAGTTCTATAAATGTTCAAAGTAATAAAATGGAGAAACCATTGTAACGTAAGCCAACTTATCCTCGGGGGCGGAGCTACGTCACGGACGTTCTACGTTGCTAAGACGCGCACCACTGTACCACGCATTTCTATGGGCTTTGTGCGCGCTGCTGTGGAATGCTGGTGGAGCCGGTGAAAACTCATGAACAACCAAATTCATATATGTTACACACGTAGGGCTAATCTTGTTACACTGTTCAGGGGACTCTCAACAACCATCGCAAAGTACCGTTTTCTGTGAGTTTTTGGTCTTTGTTTTCACCGCGAGGGTTGCCAGGCGGTAGAAAATGCCCGGATGTCC